GTTGTTCATTTCAGCTGTATGAATGCTACAATTGTTCATTTCATCTGTATGAATGTTACAATTGTTCATTTCAGCTGTATGAATGCTACAATTGTTCATTTCATCTGTATGAATGTTACAATTGTTCATTTCAGCTGTATGAATGTTACAATTGTTCATTTCAGCTGTATGAATGCTACAATTGTTTGTGTAGTGACATTTGTGTTTGTTTGTTCAGGTGAACCGGGCAAGGATTCTGATGGGAGTAACGGTGGAGGGCGGGACACACAAGCCAGCGGCCGGGCAAGGACTGACGGGAGTAACGGTGGAGGGCCGGACACACAAGCCAGCGGCCGCGATTGTGTTCTGCGTGAGTCAAACTGAGCAACTTTAAAAAAAACAAAACATTTACCAGTTATTGCCATAAATAATCTTCATGCAAATATTGAAGGGCACTTTTCATATGATGTGCACTTAAATTGTTTTGGTAAATTATGTAGTATTTCTCTGTGTGTGTTATAAGATATAGGGAGTTTTGGTAAATTATGTAGTATTTCTGTGTGTGTTATAAGATATAGGGAGTTTTGGTAAATTATGTAGTATTTCTGTGTGTGTTATAAGATATAGGGAGTTTTGGTAAATTATGTAGTATTTCTGTGTGTGTTATAAGATATAAGGGAGTTTTGGTGTGGAACTGTGTGTCTGTGTGTCCCTGTTGGTGTGGAACTGTGTGTCTGAGTGTCTCTGTTGCAGTGAGGCCAGTGCAGGGCTGGAGGTTGTTGTTTTGATTGTCACGGCCTTTAGTGTGTAGACAGACGATCTGAAAACTGTGTGTAGGAAACCGCTTTGCCTGGGCGGTCGACACAGGAAGTAGATTGCCCAAGTAGGGGCCTACTACTTCCTTTTCTCCCGATCCCGACTTCCTAGGTATACTCCAGAGCAGAGACATGGCCACCATGTTTGTCCTCAATGAGGGTGGTAGATTGTGTCTTACGATGATTGAACAGATCTCGTGTCTTACAATGATTGAACAGATCTTGTGTTGACCACAGCCCTGTTTTGTCCCCAGGTTCTCCCAGTCATGTGGAAGAACCGAGCACAACCGGCAAGAAGGACTCGGTTGTCCCAACTCCCCCCGGTGAGTCTTTTCACTGACGTCATCAACTACCGATTTTTGCAAGACTGTAGAAGAACACAAATGTCCGTGGAATTTTCCCATTTGTGAATGTTTATAGCGAGAGGGGTACAGCCTCCCAACAGACAAAGATACTTGATAGATAGAAGAATCTCTCCAAATGGGAACTGAACTCATGCCTTCAGTCTGCGCTGGCAACACACCTAGCCACAGACAGTGGTAGACAAAAGTACCATAGGTAAAAAATGTAACTGGTCAGTGAAAGAGAAGAAGAGAGACGACTGAGAAGGATGCAGAAAGATGAAGAAACTGTTGTGGAAAGTGCTCTCCTTTCTCTCTTCCAGAACTCCCAGTGGAATCCTTCTTGCGGTTTTTCTTGTATTTCGCTGTGAGAAATAAAAGATCTGTGAACTTTCAAAACATCTTTAGAATAGCCATACCTAGACAGGAGCACAGAACAAATATGTAATCTTACTGTTAGTCCAGAGACAAGATTTGAATGTTTTCCTTTGGTGTCCCTTTACGTAGATACACCCCTTGGTATTGCTGTGCTTTTTATTACCACAAACTAAAACCTTCATACAAAGTTGATCCTTTTCTAAGTCAAAGACGTTTGTCTGAGATCTCGTTATTTTCTGGTAGCGCCGTTGTCGGAGAGAAGAAGTACTGTTTTATTTCTCGGAGATAACTCCGTAAAGTTAGTTTGGTTGTAAGCCAACACAACGCTTCACAGAAATGTTGTAAGGTTTTTCCTCCTTTTCTCCCAATGTTCCTATCATGACTTTAAATGAAAAAAACTCTAGAACTATGTTCCTATCATGACTTTAAATGAAAAAAACTCTAGAACTATGTTCCTATCATGACTTTAAATGAAAAAAACTCTAGAACTATGTCCCTATCATGATTTTAAATGCTAAAAACTCTAGAACTATGTTCCTATCATGATTTTAAATGCTAAAAACTCTAGAACTATTCACGATAAAGACATGACATTTGGAGGTGGTTTTTTTTTAAATTTGAAAAAAAAAATGTTAATGATTTTTTTTTAGCTTTATTTTTACCATTTTTGCTATTTGCTAATATGCAAGTCTTCCAGCGGAAAAAATACCAGTTTGTTCATGTGTGTTATTTTGATGAGCGCCTGATTTCATCATGCTGCCTCACCTACAATATAACTACAATATAACTACAATACAACTACAATATAACTACAATATAACTACAATATAACTACAATACAACTACAATACAACTACAATATAACTACAATATACCTCATGTTTCAGAGCCCTGGAGCGAGGACTCCAAGTCAAGTGAGGAGTCTAGCGTTGAGGCGAGCTACGCGGCCAGCGACAAAGCTAACCACGAGGAGGGATTGGACACCGTCGTCAGTGTTTGCAGTGAGTCATTAAAAAAAATTTTTTTTGCCCATTTATAATGAGATTGACGCCATCTGATTCGTAGATAAAAGTGCGTATGATTGTGTCCAATAGTGTATTACGTTCATACTTAGTATGACACATAACTGTAACAGCAGATAGAGATTCCAGGATTATAGATGTAATCTTTGATCTGAGAGTGGTGATGATTTTAGAAATAATGGTGGTGATGATGTGAAGGATGCTGTGAGTCAATGATAAGTATAATCTTATCCTATCTTTTCAAACGGCTGTTCTTTCAGAAAAATGAGCCTAAAACAATCGCCAGTTATTGCCATAAATAAACGGGATTAAATATTCAAGCATACTTTTCATGGTGTGTACTTTGTACAGTGTCTGATGTGTAAAGTATGTGATGTGTACAGTTCGTGATGTGTACTATATCTGATGTTTAATTTGCATGGAATGCGACTTCACCATGTACGTAGACCGTGATAGAGAGGGGACCTTGATGTATGGAGTCGGACTCGTCTTTGTCTTCAGTAAATCTTTGAGAGCAAACGTTCGGATATACTTATGTGCAACACAATAAGGTCATATAAGTGCCGAAGATTAGAGGTGTTACAAGAGAGTAACAAACACAAAAAAGGAGGGGAGATTTAAACAATGAATGTTTGATAGGAAAGGAGCAATCCACACCAGAGCACCCATCAGCCAACCACTTTCCAACAAGTTCTGTCATCTGCTTTCTTCTCCACTTTCCGCCCTCTAGGTTTTTCCCCCTGCAGTTTGAAAGATTTCTCGGCCAGTGACGATGACAGCTCGGCTGAGCCAACTCCCCCTGGTGAGTCAAAACTGTCTGCTTTTTATGTACGTCATCAGCTACCAATTTTTGCAAGACTGTAACACACAGGTCTGTGTACTGATCACTTTTGGGAATGGGCAAAAGTACATAATGACCCCCCCCCC